AATAACTTATAATCCGATTCAAATTGGGAAAGAATGACGCCCAATGTTGAAAATTTAAATGAGGTAGTTCTAATTGGCTCTAATTGTGGGGGTAGAGACGTGTCTAGAATAGTTTTAGGAACCTGATCTATTTAATTACGCATGGAGAAAGTCATGATTATAGGATATGAAGTGACTCAAAACCTGATTTCCATGACATAAAATTTTTACAGTTCTTTACAACTGTCTATTGTAAAGGAGGTACATACCTAGGTGTTGAACAACTAGGTTCATTGATTGATTCTCTCAATGCGGCCAAAAAGGCCTTATTTTTTTAGATTAAGGATATTTTTATCATTTTAATCATCTAAGCTCTCATCATCACACCACGTGAAAAGTTGAACATTTCCACACTTAGATTCACTATACACTTAGGGGTCGTTTGGTATGAGGTATAAGAAAGTATAGTGCTGGTATAAAAATTTAATACAACTTTAATACTTTGTTTGGTTAGCAAATCAGGTATAAGTTATCCCGTGATTAAAATTAGCACCGAGATAACTTATACCTTGTAGAGGGTGGAGTAATTAGCACCGGGATAACTTATACCTTCTTCTTAGAAATTATACAATTTTCATTTTTAATACAACATACCAAACAATAGATAAAAAATAATCTCAGCATAACTTATCTCGTCATAAGCCATATTCAAACCAAACGATCCCTTAATTAAAATATAGCCAATCATTGAGGGAAATGATCATGCCCAACTATGCCTTATGAAAAGGACTAAGGGGTCGTTGCAAATATAATCCGGTTTACAAGTTCGGAGTCGAATCCCACTGAGAACTAAGGCTCAGCTACAGTTGTTCAATATCGCAAAGAAACATAAGTTCAAATAATTTTCTAGTTATAAAGATTTGGTTTTTATTTCTACTAATTAACTAAGAAATATTATAAAGCATTAAAATTATCAAGAAATATTATAAAGCATTAAAATTATCAACTAACAAGGATGAAATTCGAGACAAGCCTAAGGAGTTCTAGAGTTATGATTTACTCAATTGTCGGAATCCTTCCCGCTATGCCTTCTATAATTTCGCCTAAGTATTCTCTACCGATCGTGAGAACTTCGGGTGTCATAATTTTCTTCCGAGGAACTACCACAATTTACTAGACATATTCTTCCGAACTACGCTAGCTGACACTAGTTTACCGATCACTAAGATCGCACCAATGTTTCGTTATTTCTAATCCCACCTTTAAACCAATCGTATTGATTACTCACATACTTCAGGAGTGATGTTGTTCAACAACTACCTAAATATGTACTCTTTTCCAAGCAATACATACTAAATAAACAGTCAATTGATGGTCATTCAATCAACAACAACAAACACGTAGTTGAACAAGTAGAGAAGTCCAACGACTCAATTATATAAAAACATAACAAGAATTTATCCTACAAAAGGTTCTATCAAAACTCTAGATAACAAATTAGCTATTCATAGTAGTATCCATAACTACAATACTAGAATTCATAACCAATAATGAAAATAGGAAGAAGGAAGTGAAAAACTCGTAGAAGAATTCTCCGCCTTGCTCTTAATGTGTTTTTACCTCCTTAGGTCGAATCTCCCAAACAATAGTGTTTAGTGACTATTTATATGTATAGGGAAAAGACCTAGACGAAATAATCAAGTCTAAAATAGAAAAGGAGACGAAATAGACTTTAAATCCAGAACACCTTCGCTGTAGACCTTGCCTCGCAAGGTTTCCCACGAGCTCCGTCTCGCTGTAGGCCTCGCGGCGCGAGCTCTATCGCGAGAAATTTGCCTCGCGTCGCCTGACTTTTGCCCAAGCTCGATTCCCTTTGTGCTTAGCTACTCAACTTTGCATTCGTTACTTTCTCGTTCTTTTCCTTTCTTTTTCAATTTGCATTTGTTTTTTTTTTCTTTTGTCTTCTTTTAGAATAGTAAGCTTCAATCATTGTCCAATACTTAAATAATCACGAACCATTCTTGTAGTATATAAAATATACATAAAATTTTTAGTTAGCTTTCAATTTTATGTTCAAAGTACCTACACATAAAATAAATTCAATTAAGCACAAATATAATATAGTTTAGCATTAAAGTCCCAAAATATAAAGTAACACACTAAAAATATGTAATTATAACTAAACATCAGGAAACCAGAGATGTCTTAATTCATCTTGATCAAACCAAGCGGTTTCTCACATATTTTACCAACAACAAATGACATGAGATTGAAACATAATTAATTGATTGAGGATTTATAAAGGCGCTAAATAAATAAAAAGAAGATAAAGAATGTTCGATAAATAACCTTTTCATCATTCATTGGGGAAGAAGTGATTACAGTTTACAAGGACATTTTGGAAAAAAAGTTTATAAAATATTTCTCAATTCTAGTTAGAGAATAGAATGCATGTGGCAGTATAAACAGTGATAGTAACAGTACATATGATAAGGGCGTAAATGCAAACCAAAACATAAGAGGGGACAAACATGGATAAAGCAACAAAAAATGAAGGACATGAAGGCAAAAAGATACACATAAAATAATAGCAGTATCAGCGAGAAGTTAGGGTTTTTATTCACATGTGCACGCAGACATTTTTATTCCTTCAAAATTCCACTTTCAGTCTGCAAAAATTCTAATCATCAAAACCCCAATAATTCAAACAATTGTAAGTTTCACTCAATACCCTTTTACCTACTTTATTTTATGTCCAATTTTTTACTTCCATGCATACATTTTTATAATCTTGATATTAGGGTTTTGGGAATTTCATTTTAAGTAAAGGTTGTCTTTTTTGCTTTTTATTGGTTCTTGAGGTTTCAGATCAGTTTTTGAAGTGTTTTTGAAGTTGGGGTTGTTATTACTATGTGGGGTTTTAAATTTGTATTGGGTCTCAAATAATTGGTAGTACTAAAGAAGGAAGTAATAAATATGTTCTGATAAGGTCACTATTCTTGCTTCTAGTAGTTTTGGTATTTCCTTTTTGTTTAAATCATAGTTTTGATTGTTTTGTATATTTTTGTGGTTGACTTGTAATTATTGTGTTTCTCAATATGAAGTTGTTTATTGTTTAATGTTACCTGAGAAACAAAAATGAAAAAAAAAGGAAGTTTCAAATGCATTATGATAATTTGTATCTCACTGCAGAGACTTAAGTACCATATAAACTAGTACTTGCCTTCTCGAATGTTGGTTTTCCAATTTGTTTTTGAGTGAAGTAATGGATGATGGATTTCGCGGAGCTCGACTGATTTGTGATTGAGGCGTAGTTATTTATTGATTGATTGAATGAAGTGAGAGTACAACCCACTATGGTAAGAGAGAGTTGTGAATGGTCATGCTAAATACGATGTATCTTAATTTAGGGGATATTAATTACGAATATGTCCACATTTTTGGATAACAAATATGATTACCTTCCTCCTGCTGTGAATCGAACCGAATTAGCTCCTCAGCCTTGTCAATTGGGCCAAAGCTTCATCGGCTTTCTGCATCACCTTAAAGAAGAGTTTTTTATGCCATATATTACCTTCATTTTATGCATGTTGGTGTTATTTGAATTTACTTTGCTAAGTTAGTTGCACTTAACGCTTTCCCTTTTTTTGGTCAAGCCTTCTAACCATGACTCCTGATGGTAACCTTCTATATTGTGTCCTGACGTTTTCCTTTTCATGAATGTAGATTGGTGATTGTCAAGTAACGGAGAATAATACTGCTATCAACACTTCGTGCATGGTATTTTCTGGCTTCCATATAGTTAAGCTTCGTCTGAGTTTTCTGCAGACGTAATCATGCCATGCTTGTACTCGTTTTAGTGGAATTGCTGTATATAATTTATTTTTGCACTTACCAGGTGTGTTTCAGAAGGACACATGGAGTAGTTCAAAGTAGCGAAGGAAAAACTCATTCTCTTGGTGCTAGACATGGAAAAAATGGAGTAGTTACTTGAATTACCCCTTTTACTTTGAAAATTGAGAATTGGCAATTGCAGGGGTCCTTTTGTTGTGGGGCTGAATGGAGTAGTTAGTGTAGCTTCCCCGTTTATTTTGAAAATTGAGAATTGATAGAAGCAAGCACCAATATAATACCTTGTGAGTCTTGTGAAACATAGCTAAGACGGGGTCCCTTTGTTGTGTGGCTGCAAGGCCACATGGGTCCACTGCAGCTAGCGGAGAATGGTCCATGGGCCCACACGAGCCCTACTGGCGGACTAATTCAAGCTTCTCGCCAGCACCATCCAGATGGGATTTCCGCTTCCAACCTGAAGCATTGTCTTTTGGGTCTAATGATGGAGTTCAATTGTATGGATCTTCTGCTTCGTCAAACAGTAGAGAGAGTAGAGGTTGGGTGAGGGGAAACCAATTGGCCAATCACCAATATCTCGTATCAGATGGTGGTGTTGGTGCATACTATAGTAGTCCGTCGGATATCTCTCCTGCACAACAATGGACTCCACCAGCTATCCAAGAAATCAATGTTGATAATTATGGTACTTCAAGGAGGGGTAAGCATATTGCCTCTGCATTTTCTTTTGTATATGAGTTAAACTTCTAAGAATGCTTAGTTGGGTTTTACTTTTGTTCTCTCATTACTTGCTCCATTTATGTTGACTGTGCTATCAGCTGATGTTTTTTCCTCTTATATATGTATATTTTTTTGGTTGATAGTTTGTGGTTTTTGTTTGGAGTTTGATACAAAGTTCTTATTTGTTTGCTTGTGCTATCCTGTGACCTGTATTCCTTGTGCATTGGGGTTTTCTATGAGACACTGTGATGCAAGCTAATTTTGGACTGACTTGGTGTCAACC